CACCAAAATTATATTTCAATTTCTTTCTTACTAATTTTTAAGAATGTATGTCATTCCTCTATAAACTGTGTGCATTAGTGCCTTATAATAAGTCTTTTTGTATCAAAAAACATTCCTTTAACTCAAAATTTTTCTGGTTTAGGACGGTGTTGATGATGTTTTCAATAAGGCCATTCTGATCGGTGCTGGTTTGAAAACTCGAAAGCGATCCCGTTGCTCCATAATGTAAAATAAAACCTGTACAATTCTGGTACCCCACAGAGGATATATGGGAGTACTTTATTTCAAGATCCTTCCATGTCTTTAAATGAGTAATAAAAATTAAGCATTTAATATTAATACTTCTTGAAGTTACACTAGAGTTTGCTCCAACTTAGTTTTAGTCTTCGCCAAGGTCAAATCGCTCCTTTTAGCCTGTATTTTAAGAAAAAGTACCCAGGAATACAATTGATGCATCACTCCACCATCTTTGCTATGCTAGATTGAAGCTGGGGTACATGCACATGGGAATAGAGTTCATAATTCGCTGATTTATTGAAATGATATAATAGGTAAATTGACCTGTCTAGAATACGCGTCTGAGAACAGTTTTCCTTACTTTCACAAGGTGAATTTCGGCTTGTAGCGTCCCCTACACAGTCTGCTTGGGTTTAATCACTAGTGGATTGATTGTCAAAGTAATTCTGCCATAGAAACACTAGTGGCATGACATCGATAGCGAGCTCATGGTTATGATCGCAGCTTTTTTCGATTCAAACAGCCAAAGTTGTATTTTATGAGAAGGTTTATGAAGGTCTGAGCACGCTGACTGGTTCGATGTTTAGTGCTCCCAAAGTGGAAGACAAATTTGGACTATTGGCTGATGATTTCATGCAGACCTTGTAGTACGACGTACATTATTGAGTAAGTGTTTATGTCTAAAATTGCGATTAACAGGAACCCTCGGGACGTTTTTGATGCAATATCTTCCTAAATGTTTGTCTTTCATTATGAGAAACCATCTGCTCAACATCAGCCAACAGTTTGAGTTTTTTGTGGTAACGTGCAGATTGTACTTCCAGCTGAGTGCTGAAGCCATTCGTCATGGATAGCATTTCAATACTCAACCTACATGACCGGATAGCCAAGTGGTTGTACTTCACTGAGTTCTTAAATAGGCAGAAACGCAACAAAACCAATTACCAACTTTTGTCACCGGAAAAACGAGACTTCACCACATAGCGAAACACTTGAAGCTGTGCAACAACAATCTACAAAGCTTTTTGCCTTAAAATGGTTTTATTAGCTAAATACTTTTCTTCGATCTACACCAACATGTGAAATTGGGTCAGAAATATTTAATGTGATTTTCTCCGCTGATATAACATCCTTTTTTATGTGATCATTCACTGGACGATAGAACATCAAGTTACCTTACAAAGCGTAAAGAAATGTGAAATTCAAACGTCGGTTTGGTCTTCCGTGATGTAGGGAAGTGGGGCGCGCAAAATGCGGTGATGCCGACCTCTACATGAAACCTTACAGCCGAGTGCTTAATTCTTGAAGCCACGTACTAGTTGACATCCTTATCTTACAATTTGATCAAAACATTACACATAAATTTCTCCACCTCTTCTATCACTGTTTGTATGATGGATGAATAAGCATAACGCTGTATTTTTTGCCCAAAACATGAGGACTTAGGCGGCTTTACTTTGATAATGGACTACACTTGGTAAAGCACTCTAAAGTTAATCTCCATTGTGTAAGGATGCAGTAGTAATAAATGGCGGAGTATTTTTAATGTGTCCATCAGCACATCAACTTAAACATAGGGAATGAGATGTGGTTAAGTGCTGCAACTGCATAGGTTAGCCATCTGTTTGGAAAAATTTTACTCATATTTTGCACACTTTGTGTTGGATGAAGTAAAATTCGTATGATGATGAAAGACGAATTCTTTCAATTCGGATAACATGCCGAAACTAACTTAAAATGCTTAAACCTTTTAAGTAGGGAAGGCAGAAAGCCTGAAGTAGGGTAGGTGATAAGACAATTGGAATGGCAGCAACTCCTCTACACGGGCATCACGCAGACCAAACACGAAAAAATCGCTTGAGTTATTAGCTCTGTGGATGACTGCATGACACCTTGCACTGATCTCAACTTTCTCCAAAGTCAAATGTAACGCACTGATGGCAATTAACGCAGATGCAGTGCTGCGGCGTCGCATTACTGAGGACTCTTTGCCAACAATTTAAGTAAAACACTTCACTAGAAGTAGCTTGTAGATTCCGACATCAAAACACTTAGCTGCACAATGATTGAAGTAGTTTGGCTTCAAATGCGTTACGCAACCACCTAAAAATAGCGTGCTTTTGCATCTCTTCGATTGCCATACACAATACAGTGCCGGTTACCACAGTAAAATCTGGAGAAGCTAAGAAAGAGGATCAACACTACTTGTGCAATGGTACTATTTCATGCTTCAACTGTTCAACTCATAGAAAAAGTTTAAAGGCTATTATTTCTTCTTCAAATCTAGTTTTCAAGCTTTAGTAAACATCGCTCCCAAAATTGAGCCTTTTAAAATGCACTTTAAGGCGATTTGGAGACAGTAGAGGCGTCACCTTAGCAAGGATGCGCTCCAACAGGAAGGTGGTGGTTGAGTCATAGAAAGAAATCAGGCGCTGAAGTCCCAACATGTGCTCCTATCGTCAACCAATAGAAATCGGAGTTGCTGATTTGAGTGCGCAGCAAGAAATTTTGCCAGTCTCTGCGTCAGGCGCAACTCGTATAACATGAAATCGCTACAGTCGGAATTTAGATAAGTTAGTGATTATCTAATAAAGCATGCCGATGCTGTGTTTTATACAAAATAATTAAATTCGTCCGCCGATTTTGATGAAGTCAATTCTTTAAAGAAAACGCTGTGATAGCATTGATCCGTTAATGAGGAATATGGTTGATCACAAAAGGAGAACATTCTGTCATCAATTCAATTTTTTTGGCTAATGAATCGCGAACGTTGGACTTGTCACAAAATCTGAACGAAATCTCTCTGAATTTAATTTACATCTCCAAGGTTATTTTGAGTGCCGTCAAACCGCACTGATACTTGTAATCTAGGTGAGAGGTGTGTGAAGTAGTTTGAAACTACAACGCAAAACAGCTACGAACAACTCCTACTTCATTCATCACTACGACTACTCGTTCCTTTCTAGCGAA